ACAAACGTGACGGTGGAAAAATATGGGCGATGAGGATGTCTTGCTTCGTTTTATAAATCTTTGCATATATTTATTCATACGTATGTACAATATTTTTATGGCAGCTTACAATCATCGTGCAATGGATAAAAGTCTTTCTGATTGCAAAGATTTATTAGATAATTCTCCAAATGAACGCCAGTTCCCTCGGGTCTCCAGCAACAAAACGTAACGATTTCTATATTTCAATCACCAATCGTTTCTAAAAATCCACTAGACAAACCAATGATTACGTTTCATCACTGGAAATCGGTGCAACTCGCGCAGCATCGCTGAGACGCGCGTAAAATCGTTGATAAGCGGAATGGGATAAAACAAAAGAAAAAAAAACAAATCTCGGCAATGTGTACCATCGGAAGGTGTGGTGCTGATGTGTTCGAATATACAATTGTGGTGCGTGTACGTGCAGAAAAAAGGACATGCAGTCGACTATCTGTCTCGAGTGTAACTACCAAACTCAAAACTCTATTAAAAATAAAACACAGTACTGTACAGGTGCACTGGGTTCGTGTCCGACTATCACTCGCCACTTACCGGTCGTCTTGTTGGCATCGGGACTGGGGATCTCCACCTCCTTCTCCTCCATCATAGATCTGTTCTCCAGATCCGCGGCGGTCAAGCACTCGTCCGGCTTCTCGATCAGCTCCGCCGGATTCTTCACCTGAATCCTAGGCTTGGCCTCCTGCACGACCGACTGAATCTGGTGGTGACTGTCGTGAACCGATTCCTGACCGGCAGAGTCGTTGTGCCCGGTGTGTTGCTTTTCGTGCAACGCCATTGTCGAGTATCTAACAAAGGAGTATCCACAGTTGGGCCTGGTGCAGTGAAAATGCCGGTTCACGCGGTTACTGTGACACCCAGGCAGCCGGCAGTCCACCATTTTATCGAAGAACGCGAATCCAGCCGGTATATCTACATTGTCATGGAAGTCCTTGCTGTGCATCAACAGTTGGTCAGGCCTGTCAGTGGAGAAGTGACACCTGGCCTGAGAGCAGTGATGGTGTCTCGTGGACCTTAGGACGCAAGCCGGATCCGGACATCCGTCGGGATTATACGTGGAGAATCCTTCCGGTTCGCCGAGGCTGTTTGAGGGAGAGATGCTCCCTTCGCGATCCTCTGTCAAAGGGTTCACTGTCAGACTGGGGGTCTGCGGTTTAGGTAGCTTGAAGCTGGTGAAGATAGCTTGCGGCGAGTCGTGAGTATGAGTAGTTGGATCGCCGCCAGACCAAATTTCGATGACCCTGTTTTTAGGGGGTCTGCCTCGTTTCCGCCTGAACATAGCGTCGATGTTCGTCAAGTGGGTCAACGTCACGTCAGAAGAAAGAGCGTGAGAGGAGCATGATAGGTTCAGTTGCCTGCTGTACTCGTGGATCTTGTAATGTTGAAGCCTGCGGAACGGCTTATCAGTAGAGAGGATCACCTCTCGACAGTTCTCCCAGTTGCAGTGATAGTGCTTCTCTTTATCAGCGTAAGGACAACTGTCATCGCAGCCACCTTCTTCGAAGAAAGCGTCGGTGATGCGTTCCTGAGTCTCGTGTTCCCTCAAATGTTCCCTGACCTCGCGAGGATCCCTCAGCGCAGCGCCGCAACGGTCGAGTCCGCAATGATGATGCTCCCTGCCTAGGTGGCAGGGGCATTCCGAGCTACCTGGCACTAGGTACGCTAGCTCTGTCGCCGTCAATTGACCCTGCTGTTGCTGCTGATGCTGGGAATCGATGGTCATCGTGGAGCTTCCACTAGCAGAGACCGTAGTAGTCGTCGGCGCGGTAAGATCCATCGCCAGGTCGCTGCCACTTTGGAAGGAGTCGTCTAAAGAGTAGTACGATGGCGATCCTCTATCCTCGTTCGAACTCTCTCCGTTCAGGCTCAAAGAGAGACTCTGTCCACTGAGATCATCAGGTGGCCAGGAACCAGGGGGTCTAACGCCGGACACCGAGCTGATCTGCTTGTATTTTCGGTAGGCTAGCTCGGACTCGTGGCGCTCGTGTTTCCGTTTGTGGGAGAAGAGCTGGCCGGATGAATGGAGGACGTAGCTGCAGTGGGGTCGTATGCAGTGGATGTGGTTGCAGACGCGGGAGAAACGGCACTGCTCGAACGTACACGCTTCAGACTTCATGAACTTCTTGAAACCGTCGCGGGAGAGCTGCTCGTCTTTGATGTGGTAGGATTTGTGCTTGTCTGGAACGAAGCGGGACAACGAAACAATTAATAAATGACAGATGAACACGTAGGGGATAATCGATTTGATGCTTTCATGGTCTGAGAAGTAGCAATGATTGCTATTTGTCATGTTTCTTACCCATGTCAGCCTTGTTCTTGAACGTGAACCTACATCCGGGTCGCCGGCAGTGGAAGTGCGTGGTCCTCTGGCCGACGAAGGTGCAGTGATCGGTAGCGCAGCTCTCGGTGGCGCGGAACCGTTGGAAACCCTCCTGTATGATCGCGGAATCCTTGCGATGGTAGTTCGCGTGCATCTGCACGTCCGACGTGGATATGTAAACCTTGTCGCAGTTCTCGTGGATGCAGTGGTAGTGGGTCTGTTTGCGATTGTGGGGACACGCGCGGCCCGGATGCCTCTCCGAGCAGTCGTCCGTCGGCGAGTACCTCATGAAACCGTGCTGCAAAGATTCGTCCCTCTTTTTGTGCCACTTGAAATGCCTGATCATCTCCTCTTTCTTCACGAACACCCTACCACTGCAGTCCAGACAGTGAAAATGCTCTCGGCAGCCGAGCTCCTTGCAGTACGAGCTGCCGCACTCTTGCCCGGACGTGTACCGCCTCACGTATCGCGAGTAATCGATTATAGGCTGGGACACCGAGCTTTTCGAGCTACCGATCAAGGTATCCGCCACAGGAGACATGCTTTGTCTCAGCAGGGCTGCAATCAGAAAACGGAAAGTCGACGTCAAGCTCTTGTCTCGCGGCTACCGAGCAACTTTCGTTCAGAGAACGTGTTCTAGATTCAGATCTCTTTCCTTTTCATTTAACAACTCTGACGATTTACGATCTGCAACGTATCAATAGGACAATAAATGTATTGTGGGAGGAAACGAGATCGACGCGTGTCGTTCGGCAATGATACTCGTATCGAATGGGACTCCGAACGTAGATTCCTATGCGACCAGTGCGTCATGGGGGAACCACGTCGGTAAACGTACCTTCGATTGGAAGAACAGGTGGTCGGTAAGAACGGGATTCATCGCTAAGAAGGACTGCACCGTTAACGACCGCGTTCGTAAAATGTTTTAGCCGCGGCGGCATTAATGCAGTTCAACGACACATACTAGAGCAGCTTCCGATGCACATATTAAGAATTATGAACCGTTCGCCGACCTACAGTATGCTTCCAAAAAACTGGTTATTCGACGCGCTTGATAAATTATGGAAGCGTTGTAAAAACACTTCAATGTAGAACAATGAAAACAACAAGACGATTACAAACACTATTCATTAAACTTCAAAAAACAAAGTCTATCTTTAAAACACTTTGATTATCAAGTTCGAATACAAGAATCCACCAATAATCATGAAAAATCAACAATAAAACTGAAACAATGCAGGTTTCCAACGATAAACCGAACATTCGATTCAAGGAAAGAAGGCAATTCCCGCTGCCGCGCGAGGAACGCGGGTACAGCGGTAAATAAAAGAATTCCGTTGAAAATTGAGGTTTATGACGGTAACTAATCGTGATTTCTCGTCCATTAAGTTCGAACGTGATCATGATTCTCACCGGTCCCGAGAAACCCGCGAATAACCGCGAAATATGTAACCACCGCGGCGGTCGGGGGCGGTCGAGGGGGAGAATATATAGCGTGGCCCCCACCCCCGTTCGCCGGAAACCACGTTCCCGAGTTCGGCGTGCCCCGGCGAGGGCCCCGGCTGATTCCGAGAAATTCCTACTTGCCGACTGTGCGCACGTTTGAATGCGTTCAGAAACGAGTTTAAAAATTGTCGAATATTTCTCTTAGGGGTCCCCCTTTTTCTCGCTCCGGCCTGCCGGGGATACGGTACCGGGGCCGGAGAAGTTTTATGCGCACGTGTGGTACGCGAAAGAGAGGAAA